ACTCATTCTCTCTTGTGCCAGCTCAGTTGAACTTCTTAACAAGCTGGGCTGGATCTCCATTGATGATATCATAGCTATGAGGAAACTTTGTATTGTGTTCAGTATCAGTTCATGGTAAATTTCCTGATTATTTCGATCATAATATTTGCTACGTCAATACCAGAATTAATTTTGAAACTAGAGCGTCAATTAATATAGAACTGAAATCCGTCCCTTTTTTAATACCAAGACTGGTCAACGTATTCTTGCAAGTGGCCCCGGCACTTTGGAATGATCTAGCTATATAGAAACATTAGGGGTCTAAGTAGCATGGCCAAATTTAAAAATGAATTAAATAAACATTTTTAGTTTGTAATTTTGAAAATGACCATTTTACTATTAGCAGAACTTTTAAACTTTTATTTTTTTTATTACAGATTATTGTTAACTCTTTCCTAAAATTGTAGAATTAATTCTATTTTTTGTAATTTTTAATATTTTTATATTTGTATCTGGACTACAATGAAATCTAGTAATTGTGTTATCCATTCAAGTCCTTATTATTATTATTATTATTATTATTATTATTATTATAAATATCCGCATTCGTGTGGACGTAGCTTCAACTCTTCCCTTTCGAGTCGTAAAACGGCTAGAGCACGAAGAAAGGGGGGTAAAATGAGCACAATGCCGGCCTCAGCTTGGTAACAGTCTAGTGAAACGAATTGTTACGAGTTTTTACCGTCGTAAACTATGATAAGGACCTTACCCATTACCTATTTTAGAGTGAAGTACAACTAGGAGTTGGCCGAAACAAATGAATACGACGTGCCCGAGTCAAGGCCGAGTCAGAAGACCGAGTCAACACGACGACCTCGGCAGTGGAAACGACACTGGACAAGGAAAGCACTTGCAATGAGTTTGTCGCGTTTATTTTAAGTCGTTCAGTTTATAAAATGTAGGCAAATTTTCCTGAAGTTAAATTCTTATGGGCCCTATCCAAGCAAGTTCAAAAAGAGAAAGGAAAATTCATCGCCGTGTCTCGATCACGTCCTCCACAAAACGTTGCATTGGGACCGGTTTCTTGTCGTAGTCAGTAGTAACAAAATGTGCACGTGATGGACGTGCAGTAATGTTTTTTTTTTTTACTCCTAAAACCAATTATTTTTCCCGCTCTAGTTACCGTCGTTGTCGTGGTTGTCCGCTTTCCGATGCTCGCGCGTTCTTTCAAGAATCGCTCCGCTCACCACTCCTGAGGCGGTGGAGCTTTTTGAAACGTAGGGGAGGGGGGGGGGGGGGGGCCTAACATATTGTTTTGTGGGTTGTTTTTTTGTGGTTTGTAATGTAAAAAAAATTGGTTGGGTTGGGTGTTGTTTTTTTTTTTTTTTTTTTTTTTCCCCTAACATATTTTTTTTTCCCCCTTTTGGTCGCCTTTTTTGTTGTTTGTCGCCCTTGTCGCGTGCGCGCGTGTTTTTTAAGGTTGCGCCCCGCCCCCCCCGCGGGGGGGGGGGGGTTTTTTTGAAGGGGGGGGGGGGGGGGGGGGGGGACGCTCATCTTCTACTTAGCCAGACGCATATCCCTACTCAAATTTTCCTAAATGTCCTTTGCGTTGTTCGTTGGTACAAGCAATCTTCACAGTGTCTAATGTGTCCGTAATCGATTTGTGACAATGCATCAGTAGGTAGATCATTATCTTCAGGCGATCCTGCTTCATCGCGCTTCTTTGGTAGTTCTTGAGTCGTCTGAGGGCAGAAAATGTGCGCTCTGAAGTCGCAGATGTCACAGGCATTGTCAAATACATCGGTAAAAGTGTTTCTCGGCACTAAAACGTGGAGGAATTGCCCCCCCCCCCTTCCCTAGGGTATAAATCATTGTCATGTAGCAGACATGCAGCATCAATTAAAATAGCCATGTAAATTTCTTTCGTTAGTTGTAACACCCATTGTAAGACGTGGCCTCTTAGGCCAAAAAGTTTTGCTTTATTTTTCGCGAATTTGGATATGGCTTAACTTTTGGGTGGCCCTCTTTCCCGAGTTTCAAGAGGTTTTGTAGGGCGTGTATTTATAGTTTTTACTTTTGATGGGATACAAACTGTGTAAGTGAGTTGAATCAGTCGTTTTTATAATTTTTCCGCTCATCGTCCGTTCCTTCAAGTTGCTTATTTTTCTTCAAGAAAGTATGAGTTAACTTAATTTATCCATTTTTCAATCAGTTTTTTGATTCATAAAACGGTAAAAAAGAACGATAAAATCCGACTTTTTGGAGTAGTCATGACTCCATTATCAAGGGAAAATGTTTTTGGTCATGCAATTACAGCATTTAAAGCGATGTGGCGCGAAAATCAACATAACAGGGTGCGAAGATTATGAAAATACTTTCGCACGAATTGAGTCTGATTGCACGTTGAGATTTGATTATTTTTTGATGTCACATTCTCTTCGTTCTTTGGTCATAAACTATTTAGGAGTGTTTATTGAGAATATCTTATAAGCAAAATTTGTCGAAATTGGCGAAATCATTAAACTGTTGTGTAAATACTAGGTTATGTTTTGCGCTTTTGAATTTGCCTCTCCCGCCTATTTATATATCCCTCCTGCAAAAAGTGACCATTAATTATTTTATGTGTGCACATTATTGGAGGCACACCGCGGTGATTTCCTCAACTTGCCAAGGTGAACAAGTTTAGTAGTTTTCAAAAGAGCTCGGCAGGACAAGGCGACCTTATTCTAGAACTATTCTCCATGACCGTTGGATAAAATTAAACTTTCGTTCAACAAACGGCCTCTACGTATTGTTTTCCTAAAACATTTGTAACGGAGCCATGGTGATCTCTTGGTACAACTTAAAAACCCGATCTGTCACTGACAGTCGATCTGCGAGCGACTCATTTTTATCAAAAGTGTTTAATTAACTAATGGATTTCTTGAATTTCCCCTTTGTCAGCTAAAAACAAAATGTTTATTTTCCAATATAACTCCCACTGAATCTCGAACGAGGTCTGTTACTTTGATTGATTGCGTGAAATGCTTTAATTGACGAAAGTGATTAGTTTTATGAACGAGTCCATGCACCACAAAGATGAATACTGAAACGTCTACCAAACAGTGGAGCGCGAGCCAAAATCCTTCCCAAATGATGTCTGGTACGTAATTAAGATTATCTACTGACTGCTGTTTATGATAAGGGTTTATATTCAGACTCAAAATAAACCGATTAATGATTCAGATTTATTCGAAAACTCGCTCATATTAATATTAGTTTCTTTCTCACGTTTGGGTTATAATAAAACTCCGGATTTTTCGAGTAATTTATTGCAACCTGCGTTTTATATATGGCTTTAAAGCTAATTTTAACTGGCTTAGCCTCCAAGCTTCGTTTTACCGATTTCGTACTGAAATTAATGATAAAAATCACGTTCAGGCTGAAATGTGAAATCAAATTATTCTACTTTTAGCTATCTTCCAAACATTTCACACTATTCAAACTTTTGCTTGTTAGTAATAAAACCTTATTACCCAAAGTAACATGTAGTGTAAAATGTCTTAGCTTAATCTTGTTACTTTTACCTATACATTTAAGTCAATAATTATGTTAACGATAGGTAGAGGGTAAAGGTATTAGGTGCACACGAGCCAAAGGCCCACACGGCCGGAACTTATTTCCGGTTTCCGTAGCATAATATTGCTACTCCCCCCTGGACGGGGGGTTACCCCCCAAGCAGTATTTCGCCTGTACCCATTTATACACTTGGGTGAAGAGAGACAAAGTGGAGTAAAGTTCCTCGTCAGAGGAAACAACGCGACGGGCCAGGCTTCGGTTCCGGACCTCCAGATCCAGAGTTCGAGGTGTCAACCGCTCGGCCACACACGCCTCCACAATGTTAAGTAATGAAATATCTAGCCAGATCACCACACTCACCACAGGGGATTTTGATAACGCTCATAAAATTAATGGCTTCTAAAGAACTCGTTTACACCGGTCCGGATAAACGGTTTGAACCGTCGATTTTTTTACATGTGCAACCTGTTTACATGGAACCGTAGAAATTCTGTTAAAGATTGCAGAACTGTTTACACTGTCTATTTAAATTTTTACACACTTTGCTTGTTCCGTAGAAATTCTGTTAAAGATTGCAGAACTGTTTACACCGTCTATTTAAATTTTTACACACTTTGCTTTTAAAAACCCTTCACCGGTTCCGTGTAAATGAAATAAAGACGAAACCACCCGGACCCTTGAGTAATGTCCGCACGATAAACACTTGTCTTGCAAGATAACGATTTACTTGAGTTTTACAAATAGACTACAGTTGGAGGTAAAGTTCTTTCATACGGCAGAGATTTTTTCCTGCTGTCCCTTTTTTGGTCGATATCTGCACAGTTGACGTCATTTGTAGAGTTATCAGCAAAGATATTCAAAATTTAGCAAACTTTAACTGGTTTAGATTTAGCTGGGGATTTAAAGGGACAGTGTCTCGGCTGGCCAGTTCATTTGGTCTTTATCCTTTTTTTTTATTTATTTAATTTTTTTTTGGAGGGGCGAGGGAGTCAACCCACCATTATATCAAACGTTACAAACAACAAAAATGAACTTTGAAAAACAGGTATACTATTAACAATTCAAACTTTCGGAGAACCACAATTGCAATCCGTTTCAATCTTCTACAAGTTCGTCCATCCTTGCATGCTTTTGTAACTTTCTTGTTGCAGTGAGCAGAGAGGTCTTGTGCCTCGCTTTCATGTCATAAAAACACATATATAATGTCCCGGATGGCAGGAACGCCCCCTCCCCAAAAGCTGGAGAAGTGACACATTAAAGAGTCACATTAAGCATAAAACCATTTATTTCTTTCAGAAATAAATTTCCTTTCAGAAATAAATTTCCTTTGTATTTGTGTCATTTACCTTTACCTTTTTAATGTTGCTTCTATTTTTCACTCAAGGACGGGGATGCTTAATTTGGACGTGCGTCGATTGATTTCATTTAGAGCAACAATTATCTGTGCTCAAGACATCTACTAAATGCCAATTTTAGTTCCTTTAATTTCCTTTCCAGAGCTTCAAGAGGCATTCAGTTTGTTCGATAAAGATGGCGGGGGCTCGATATCATACTCCGAGCTTGGTGCGGTGATGCGATCGTTAGGACAAAATCCAACAGAGGATGAACTCAAAGAAATGATAGCTGAGGTGGATGAAGATGGTATGATAATTGCGGTTGCCAATTGGACTGCTTCCTAACTTTAATTTTTTCATGGGGATAAAAAATCGAGTATGGCGGCCATTTTCCCTGTCTTTTAAATTTACCCTTTTTCACGCAAGCTAATTGCCTCATTTTCATGTTAAACTGACCATCGAGACATCATAAGCGTTTTCCCGAAGTTTTCCCTTTTCTATAACTTTAAAAAATGCCACCCCAGGCCCAGTGTCCTCGTTAAAAACTAAAATTCGTTCCAAGATTTTGAAATATTTGTTGTACCAGCAAGGACTACGTCCTTAACGAGATTAATGGATGCTTATTACATCTTCATTCTACTGCATATTAGGGACGTACATTATTTTATAAGTGGTCGGGATTAAAATCTTTCTTCTTTTGACAGGAAATGGCGAGATTGATTTTGAGGAGTTTCTTCAAATGATGTCCAAGAAAATCAAGGAAACTGATACGGAGGAGGAAATAAAAGACGCGTTCAGGGTTTTCGACAAAAATGGAGACGGAATGATAAGCGCGCACGAACTGAAACAAGTTATGGCGAACCTCGGCGAAAAACTTACGGATGAGGAGCTGGATGAAATGATGAGAGAAGCTGACACCAATGGGGATGGACACATTGACTATGAAGGTAAATAAATTGTTACAAGCAAAAACATCTGATAAACCGAGGGAAATTGAGGCGGGAACAATTGCTGGTTTTCACATGAGGTCGTCAATATTGAAACTAAATAAACTATCGATCCTTCATGTTTTTTAATTTCTTGAGGTATAAGAGCAGATATCTTTTAATATGCCATGACGCTTCCAAATTTGTATTGCTAAAAGTCTAAACTCTTTCAGAGCATATTTGCTTTAAACTTGAGGTAATACCGCTGCTCAAGAACGCAAAATGTCCACTTCCGGTTTACGTGCATCGCTCAAAAACTTCTTTGCTTAAGCTCCCGGATGAAACCATCTTATGGGCGTACATTATAGCAGAACTAACATACTTCAACGTCTTTTCGTTTCACAGAGTTCAAATTTTTAATGATGAAATAATAAATCTGAGTGAATGAAAGCCCCGATAAGCTGGATTGAAGACAAGTTATCTTTCGACGTGCCAGGAATTCTGGAAATTATTGCACTTGTACTGGATGAGTGCTACCTTGAAGCAGATCAAAAGCAAATGATGAAGAGGTTATGTTGTGGACACATTTAACACGCGCTACTTACTGAACAGCGCTTAGAATCCTGCTGTAAACATAATGCGATCACTTTGGAGTAATTAGAAACCTTTCCGAGACCTATAGATTCTAGGGCGAGGCGGCGACTGCGAGGACGATATGATAAGATACAATGGAGTGCACGCGCGTGAACCAGCGTCATTTTGGCGGGAAAAAGTGATAACCGTCGTAATTATACTACGGGTTTTAATGAAGTAACGGAAACAAGTTAGAAGTTTTATCATTTTGAGCGAATCAGGAGAGAGAGAGCTTATTACTCCCCTAAATAAAAATAATTGGCAAACCTATCCGGGGTGTCTAAATTTTTAGAAAACAGAAAAAAAGGCCTTAAGTTAAATCTCGTCCTTGTCAGTCTTCATCGTTCTCGAATCCAAGGGTCTCTGTTTTTCGGAACAGACCATTTGTATAAAGTATTTTACCCTTATTTTGGCCATGCTGATCATATTATATTCACCAACGTCTAGAATACTGTAAAGCATTTTCTTAGTGCTGCGTAGCACAATTATCTTGTACAGTAAACACCCGCTAAAAAGAAATAGAGAATATTACATGGCCGCGCGGAGATGCAAAATTCTCTTCGAGTGTTGAAAATTTTTTTTTCCAACTCCAGAAGAGAAATTTCGTATCTCCAAGCGGCCATGTAATGTTCTAGTTATAATATAAACACCAATGAAATACCAAGCCATTTCACTTTAATAGTTTTTTGGTGTGAAAGGCGCGATTAATTGTGTAGCCATAGCAACGGTGATCTTTTCAAAAGTGAAGATAACAATGTTATTTTCACGTGTGAAGATATCGTGTTTTCGCGCGAAAGCTCACCTGGTATTTCATTGGTGTTTATATAATAAAATAGGTTCTTTTACTTTGGGGTTCTTATTGGCAATTTAGACTACGTAGGTTTTTAATTAAGTTCTTAATTTTTATGAAGGAGATATAATAGATTGATGATTACCATAAAAAAATATAGAAATTGGGTTAGGTCCTAGAAAGTACAGTATTTAATCAAAATTGTAAATTATTATATCCATAACAAATCTGATTACCGAATTTTTATACAGTTTGGCCAAGAGCCTTGGTTTGGTGCAGTATGTTCTTGCTATACTTATAAATTAATTTTACAATCTCAAGGTTACACTCCTTGGTTAAATTGTTTATCATAATTTAACTGTATCCGCCTGGCACATAAAAGAGCCTACTTGATCTTGCTTGTCTAAACAGGTTCTTGTACTTTTGCGAATTAAATTGGCAAATTTCTGCTAGGAGATTCTTAATCCTCTTATTCGGGGGGTGTTTACTGCATTGCAAATTCAAACTCATATTCAGATTTTAGACTACTTTTTTAATTTTACTTCATAATGAAGCATTTTGAGCTTTTGAAGTAGCTAGCTTGTTTGATGTTATTTTTGACATTGTAATGATATTATTTATATCGTTTTTAATACAATCAAGCAGAGTGAAATTTCTTCGACTAGAAATACATAAGATCATAGTATATGCAATGTAATGGAAGATTTATTAACATTCCAAACCTTTTTAGATTTCATTATTCCAAGAAGGTTAACTTTTGAATATTTAAATTTCAGCAGTAATATTGAGCAAAGCGGCAATTTCCTTAATATGCTGGGCTTTCATGAATTTATCGAAATGAACCGAATTCAATTATAATCGTTTATTTATATTATGGCGTCCTGGCATCACAGTGAGCTTCATTTTCTTTATTGAGACGTTTCGGTCACCGCCACTGCAACATATAAATCATCTGCACATAACTATGTGGGCACGAGCCCATAATCCGAAGCGAGCAACTCCCATACTAGGCCTATGTCACCGTGTTTTTATGGACCGGTTTATTTTTAGACACATTTTAGGGAATTTTTTCCCGCGAAAATAAAATCTCCACCATATTTATGAGCCCATTCGAAGTATAAAGGGAAAACTAAACAACTATTGTCAGACTATTGTCATGAATACAAGAAAATACTTAAGGGGCTGACCATTTGACTTTTGAGAGGAGCCGGGGGGTAGTGATATAATTTTTTCCTGGCATACCACGGTGTAAGATTTTTTTCCAGCTTTATACTCCTTGAAAGATATTTTTTTCATTATAGGAATTTTTTTCGCAGGTATTTCCTTGCAAGAATTTTTTCCCTCGAAAATAAGTCTACAGGACATTTTTTTTTCTGAAATCACCCATACCCCGATCAAAAGTCGAATGGTAGGGCCCTAAATTGAACATAGAAGTATTTAAGAACTCTTAATGACTGGTTCCGATCAAAAACAGTTAGTTTTGTTTTCCAAGAATCCCACCAAAATTAACTCGTTTCTCGAGGGACCAGCCTTGACTTCCTTTAAAAGGCCTGCAAAGAAATGCAGACCTTGAAGTAAATCTCAACTAGTGGTCGAAATAAAGCAGGTAACATAGCGCTTTCCCCTTTGAATTTGATAGATTTTGCAATGTTTCCCCCTTACCTTTTAGAGGGAAACAGTTTTCTTGTCAGGCATCATGTGATTTCGAAGGAATCAATGGCAAGCGCACTTAAGGGAAAAAAAAAACAGTGTATAACAAAACCATTTGTTATCGCTTTGCGCCGCATTTAATTGTCGTTGTCAAACAAGGGAACTGAAATGAATCCAGTTTTGGAAAAGAGTCAGTAGCGCCACTATAATATGTCGGAGGTGACGTCATGTGAAAACGCTCTATATATAATTTTATAAACAACACAGGTAGCCCAAGCATAATGGAGAATAAAAACGTTTGCATTGCAAAAGGTAAAACTTCTTGAAATTAATTAAAGTGAGTTAAAGTTAACAGTAAAGTATAAACATTGCTACCTGTCTTTCTTTCCACGAAGTTTCAGTGCGGTTAATAGTTAAGCACTGTGTTGTGTCAGTATATAGTAATTGAGAATGTCATCTGCTTCAAAATTGGCTCCAAATTTGTTCTTTAAATACCTTTATCCTCTACAAATTCAGCCGTGGCAACCAAGCAACGATGCTGATCACAAATTGTTTTTCTGAACACCAAGCTACGGGTCACAATATCAACCCAAACAATGTAAAAGTACTAACACCATCAAGCGTAGAGTCAAGGCGGCCGTTGCTATTAAACAAAGGAAACCGTCTCGATCTGAATAGGGATAAGACGAGGGACTGGACCCGCTAGTAATTTACAATGCTCTTTTGGGATTCGTAACTTTTCTGTCACGCAGCCTGTCACTTCATAACGCTGATGAAGTACGAGTGATTCGCACGAAATCAGTATTCGTTTCATTTTAATTTTTCGTTCTGAGTTTTGGAATTTTCTGCACACTAAATGTCTTGGCCAGAGCAGATGAAAAACTTTTTAGGTAACCATTCTTATGGCCTGCGAACGCAGACGTCACGCGTTCCGGTCGTCGCTTGCTCTCCGACCCGTAAAGCCTGGCTCTCATATGCCGCCGATGCACCTGCGACATGGCCGCCGGTACTGCTGGGATACTGTTCCAATGAGAACAGAAGAGGCCAGCAACATGGCTCATCCCAGTCTTTAACCCAGGCATGCCTGCGAAGTTGACTCAAATTTAACTTCGCAGGCATGCCTGCGGTAGAGCTCTGCGATGACTCTAGTTGCCGGCGGCGCATGTTCTCATTTGTCCGAGAAGTGTCCCAGGCAATACCGGCGGCTACGTCGCAGATACATCGATGACATCAATTTACTACTATGACGACCAGGATCTTTCAGGGTTTCGCTTTCCTGTGCTAATTAGGGCGTTTGTCATTCAAACCTCACTGGGATTACAAAATTTAAATATGAAAGAAAAAACGAAAAGGATTCTTGTCGTAGTAGTAAAATGTGCAAATATTAATGGCCTATTAGTTTTCGGTTGGAGAGAGGTGATAACCGGAAACACACCTGCGTTCGCAGGCTACAATTTCTGCTTCTAATAATCAAAAACGCACTAAAGCCTGTCAAGAGGTAATGCAAAAGACCTGGAAAGGTGGTGCAAACAAGAGAATTAAAGCTCTAGGCGTAATCTACATGAGAAACCGTTCCATTCTGTTAAAGATCTTAGTGCGTTGCATAACGAGTCGCACCGTCTTAGCAACCAAAAAAATTTTGTTTATCCAGCTGAGATAGGGGACTAAAAGTCCCCTATCTCAGCTGGATACTCAGAAGCTTGTAACATTCACTATTCCATTTATCTCTGATCATATTTCGCATCTATTACGACAGAGGCGTCGATTTTCGCGCCATCATGTCATCATTCTAGAGCGAGAAATTTAATTAAAAGCGCGGCATTCAACAAATATACGGCTCAGGTTTCGGCTAAAACTATTCAGTGCCGTCAAAGAACAAAACATATAATTAAGGTCTGCGTATAAAGTCGATCACATTGCTAACACAGACAAAAACGCTTAAATATCTCCTACAAAATGAACGGTTGAGTTTGTTTTTTCTACGGGTCAAACTGCTACTATATGTCCCAGAAGCGCTCAGGCATAATAATATGCCAGGACTTCTACCTGGATGAACCAGAAAGGATATAGAACAACTGCCTATTTTTTTTCTTTTTACGGCTACGGGTCGAAATGATAAACGTGTTATATATCCTAGAAGCGCTCAGGCATAACACTATGCCAGGACTTCTACCTGGATAAACCAGAAAGGATATAGAACAACTGCCTAAATTTTTTATTACGGCTACGGGTTGAACTGCTAAACGTGTTATATATCCTAGAAGCGCTCAGGCATAATAATATGCCAGGACTTCTACCTGGATGAACCAGAAAGGATGTAGAACAACTACCTAATTGTTTTTTACG